ATAATTTCAGGAACCAAAATGTGTTTTTTCTATGCAACCTGAGCAGGAGCAGTGAACATTATAGTTACTTGTTGTAGCTTGTTTTCACTTACCCCACCCTCAATGCTGTACTCTCAGTTGTGAAGAATATTCTTACGTTATGGATGGTCTTTGTCACCATTAAGAAAAGGAGATAGGAATAGGCCAATATATAACTGGATCAAGTGCCTGTTTTCTTTATATTCTCCAAGTTCTTAATCTAGCTGTTATCAGGTACTTAAGTGGTAATCAATCACAGTCAGTCCATCATTTAAAAAATAAACTTTAGAGCTGTCTTGCCCAAAAATGGCAACTAGACATTCTGTTTTAGCAACTGTAACCTTGGTTTAAGGAGCCATTTGATGCCTGTCTTATAATATATGAGTTTTTAACACTGATTTTATCTGCCTCAAAGCAGAGTTTCAGCATAATAATTCTACAAAGTATTTTAGGCTGAGATTTAGATATCAAGAAAAAACCAGTTTGCCCAGCAGGGTTAGGCCTCAGATTTATGCATTCCCTCCTCTCTAGTTCATGAAAATGATAATTGCCATCTGATAAAGTGGATTCTGGTCCACAAAAGCTTATATCATTATATATGATAGTTTTTGAAGAGCTACATGAGTCTTTGTTGTTTTTTTGCTGCAACAGACTTAACACTGTTACCTCTCTCAGTATTAATTTGCTGAGACATCCAAATCATGGCTACTGCAAACCGTAAGTCCTTTTCAGATGACAAGCTGAGGATAATGAATGCACACTTGAATGGAGGGAAGTGGGATCATAGCAACAGCTCCCACCCACTACTTACATTCAGGTTATAAATAGATCCTGCACGTGTAAGAGGTGTATGTGCATAAGGACCAGTGATTTAAGGGGGGGGGCTCTTTTTTTAGAAGAAAATTCATTACTATATTTTTGGCAAAAAAATATCCATGTCTATTTCAGGAGGTCACTTAGTAATATAACAAATCAGACTGGGCAACTGAAATGCCTACAATATTATTTAGATCTAAAACTACAATTTTAATTAATGCTTTTCACGCAACTATCCCTAGAAATAATATATATTTCTGTGAAAAGCTATTCATGCTTTCTAATATTATTATTTCCCCAGTTTATATACCACTTAACACTTCAGTCTCTAAGTCGTGTACAGTAAACAGATACAAGAAAAATAAAACAAGTTAAAACTAACCTTAAATCAAAATACCTCAAGCTGCCTACTCCATGTCTCCCTTAAGCTGAGAGAGCAGCCAAAGGGCGCCTTCATAGGTAAAAAACTGCACTCAAAAGTAAGGGTGCTTCATGCACAAGCTTCTTGCAAATTCAAAAAAAACCCTGACCTGCGGTTTTTGGACTGGTGTCTGGACTGGAACATAGTTGATTGTAGTACGCTAACAGTTTTCAGTGTCTTCAATTTTTGATTTAAAATCTAAACTATGTAAGGGACGTATAAGCTATTATATCTTAGTATTCCAATAAAAAAAATCACATAAGCCTCTGAATTTGTTTATCATATTTAAATCACACATGCCTATAGGACTGCAGCACAAGTGAACATTACTGAGGGAGGGGAAGCCTAGTATTTCAATTCAACTACTTTTGGCTATTTGTGGGGGAAGCTTTTCATGTGTTTATTAAGGATGCAAAATTAGCATGACCTTATTTCTTACTTTGGTTTATGACTTTGCCTCTTTTCCATTCCTCCTCAAAACTCAACCTTCCTGGTAAACCTTTTCATCACCCCACTAGCACATGTCATTAAAGCAATCCTGTGCCTTCCATTTCCAACCCCCTTCCTTTGTTGTTTCCTTGTGTCTATTTTAGACTGTAAGCCCCTTTGGGCTTGGGACCTGTCATACCTGTTCTTTGTAAAACAGCATGTACAGTAATAGTGCTGTAAATAAATATATAAATGCAAGTCAACTAAACATGCTCAACAAGGCCCACTTAGCTCTGTGTAAAATTGCCTTGAAGGCTTTCTAGAAAAATTTCTAGAAAACCCACTAAGTTTATTCTTGGTATGAGCTTTCGTTTGCATGCACACTTATTCAGACACCTGAAGAAGTATCTGAAGAAGTGTGCATGCACACGAAAGCTCATACCAAGAACAAACCTACTTGGTGTCTAAGGTGCTACTGGACAATTTTTTTATTTTATTTTATATTTCTACTGCATCAGACCAACATGGCTACCTACCTGAATCTAGAAAACCCACATTACTGGCTTTTCCATACCATCAGGAAACCAGCTTCTTCAGCACCCCCAGTACACTGAAAAAGCTGTGCACACATATCCTTCCTTCTACATTTTATTTAATACCAGGATGCACATAAGAGCTATTTGGACACTATTCAGAATATACATCAGTCAAGGGTAGACACTTTCAATGAAATATCACATCTCCCCATCAATTACCCCTGGTTTGTTACAGCTATTGGTTTGCTTCCACACCAAAACAGAAACTATAATTAGAAATCTGATTTGGAAGCAAACTTTGGTTTGCAATAACCATAGCTTACCTCAAGGTTGGCTCACCTTTAGACCTCTAGATGTTCGTCAACTACACCTGTCACCATCCCTGGCCATTGGCCATGTTGACTGGAGCTGATGAGAGTTGGCATCCAGCAACTTCTGGAGGGCCACAGGTTCTCCATCCCAGTTTACCTGATTTGGGCATCACAGCAAACTATAGTTATAGCAAAGCAAAGTGAAGGAAGAAGTCCAAGACACGAGCCTAACCATCAAACATGGATTGGCAGCTATCTGTAACATCTGAACCAGGTCACTGCCATGTGCCCAAGACGAACCAATAAAGTTCATAGTTAAAAACTGATTTGAACCATTATCTTCCCCATCTAAGTCATCATCCAGAATTCACACAATTTCTTGGACGATCACATCACTTTAAAACCTAGCTCCCTGCAATTTTATTATGAAACACTATATTTAGAAGAAGTGTGCTTGTGGGTACCAGATACTAGGAGGAAGAGAAGATGGTACTCCCATCACACCCTCTTGTGCAATTTCAGAGGCATCTGGCTGGCAACTGTTACAAACTGAAAGTAAGTCTAGCTAGCCCTTTAGTTTAGCAAAGGAACTAAGAATATGAACCACCAAGACCCTAGTTCAAATTTTACTTCAGCCAGAAGTCCCTAGACAGTCCAACTCAAGTCATTCACTTAATCTCCTACTGTGGGATAATAACAATGTCTGATAAGAAACCAACTCCATCCTATATAGGTTGAGAACTTTCAGTCAGTGCTCATATCAACCTAACATGACTTAGTAGGTTGCTGCAATGATCACAAAGATAATGTATAATAGAAGGCACTAAGTAGAAAACACTTATTTAGCCAACAACAGTTTTTTTTCCTTAAGCACTTTGTGTGACATTAGCTCCAATGTTATCCATCCACCTTGCATTCAAGCCTATGGGACTTACATCCCAAGCAAATCTGCTTCGGGTCAGGCTGCAACTATGCATAGCTGCTCAAGAATAAGTGATACTTACTTTTCAGTAAATATGCAAAGAAATAGGAATGCTTTTTTTTCAAACACAATCTCTTCTATTACAGCAGGGAGACATCAGAACATGACCACATCTGCAAGGTGTGTGACAAACTATAGAATATTTCACAACCCGCCCTTCACCAAAAGCTGATATTGGAGTTGTCCCCATGACCAAGCAAATTATAACCACCACATCATCAAGACAACGTAAGCTTATAGTATTTGTCTTCTTCCTTTAATCCAGGTACACTGCACCTGAACCCTGAGAAAGATGCTTCTACACTTCCGCATTTTTAATGTAAGAAATTATCTTCTCAGAGACACAGTTGTGCTCTTTCACGACCAGGCTTCTAAATAACAACTGGTTGATGACAAAATAGATTGCACCATACAGACAGGTGTCTCTAATTCAGCCTAGCAAGTGGTGAAATACATCACCACCCCAACGTTGTGCACCTGGGATTTTGTGGCGCCTTAAAACCCAAGTAGTTTATTGTAACAGGATCTTCTGTAGCAAGCACCGCGGGGAGGAGTGAAACTAGTGTATATATACACTTGTAAATTTTTTCATGGTATGAGAATCAGATTTTGCAAGATGCATAAACACATACTGAATACACACCAGCCAAACACCACTGCCCACTTACTTCATGCATCTGAATCAGGAGGCTCTTCACAGTAATTTGTAAAATGTTCAAAAGATCATTATTACAGGCTACTCTTCAAGAACTTGGGAATTAGGAGACAACTATGCATAAATCCCACCCCCATAATATGCTTTGATACTTCCAAAACACAAACAGCCCAAAAAGGAGGCAAGTGAGGTTGCCAAGCCACTAGCAGGAACCAGCAAGGGCAGCTTTGCCAGGAGCCTACAGATCCCACTACTCTCTCTCTCTCTCTCTGACACAGTGTCAAGTTTGGACGAAATAAACTTGGGGGTGGGGGGTGCGCAAGGCTGCCAACCTCTCAACAGGTTGCTGCAGCTCGGCCTTTCCCCTGGGCAGATCTTTCCTGCTTGTTTACGTCCTATCGCCTCATGCACAGCAATGAACGTCCATTGTAGGAGGCATCCTTCGGGTCCAGCTGGTGGGTTTAAAGCGGGGTAGGTCAGGAAAAGGAGGGGGGAGAAAGAGAAAGGAGGGGTGGCGGCTGCTAGATGCCAACTTCCCCACGGGCCTTTTCTCCTGTGCCTTTAACAGCAGCAGTAGTAGAATATAGAGCCACCTCGCTCAGGGGGGGTGGGGAGAAAACTATTCCTATGGGGGAAAGACATGCCCCGCTCGCTCTTCTTCCCTTCAGCCAAGGGCCGGAGCCTGCTTTGGAGGCCGAGAGCTCTCGCTCCCATGGCGGGAGGGAAGAGGCCGAGGCGGCGGGGATGGGCATTCCATGGAAGCCCCTCCATAGGCAGGCAGAGAGATGCTCCCCCACTCGGGAGAGGCCTAGCAGCAGTGGCGCCTCCTCACCAGGAGTAGGTCTGCTCCGCCATGGCGCCGGCGCCGGCCGCTCCTCTCCCTCCTCGTCCTTCCCGTCGTCGTCTTCGTCGTGTCCTCCTGGCTCCCTCTCCCTTCTCAGAGGGCTCAGCGGCGGTCCCGCTGCGGCTCCCGGCCCAACATGGCGGCCTCGGCGGCGGCGACGGCGGCGGCTGAGAGGCGAAGAAGGGAACCCCCTCCGCCCGGGCGGAGACGCCTCAGCGGCAGCCGCGCCACACGAACCGCAGCGGCAGCAGCTGGGCCGCGCTCCAGCGACGGCGGGCGGGCCTCATGACCGACGGCTACCACGACGAGGAGGCGGCGGCGGCGGCGCTGGCCGAGGTGTGTGAGGGGGAACGGGCGGCCAACGAACAACTCCGAAGGCGAGACCGCGCTTGCTCGCTCGCGCGTCCTCGGGCGGCGGGGGGGGGGGGGAGAGGAGGAGAGAGCGCGAGGGGGCGGGGCTTGATAGGGGAGCGCGCGCGCGCAGCAAGCCAGGCTAGCGACGCTGGCGGGTCACGTGCTCACAACAGGCTCACGTGTTTCGACGCAGCAGCCTTTGAGGAAGGAGTCAGAGAGAGAGAGGGGAGAGAGACGGGTTTTTTGTCGTCTTTATGTGTTTGTTTGGAGGCCCGGCGCGCAGCACGCTGTGGGATATTGTTGGGATGAAGGTGAACCGGCAGATGGAGGCGAGTTTAAGGAGAAGAGGGGGCGGGGATGATGAAGATGATCTCATTGCGCCTGCGCGGCATCCACCCGCGGTGGATAGAAGGGATTCTTTTTTGTTTCCCCCGCCGGGAATCGACGAAGCTTCCTCGGAAAATGCAGGCGGGCGGGCTGTTTCTCTCACTCGCACCAGCGAAAATTATTAGTATTGCTTTGTTATTAGCACGTGCTGTTTACAAATTGTTCTGTTTATATATGAGCTGGCAATATACATTATATAGCATTGTTACTATTATTTATTAAATTTATTAGGCGGTGTTTTTCTGCCATAGCAACTTAAAATATGTTAAGCGAAAAACCACACATATATATACATTGAAACCAGCGTTTTAAAAAATCAATTGTGTTTTGTAAAGATTGTTTTATATTATTTCTTTATTATTTTTCTTTTTAGGGATAATGTTTTTTGCTATTTTCTTGTAAACGAGTTTGAATTTTAGTCTTTTAAAATGCTAAAAGAACTTTCAATAAAATTGCTATATATATAAAAAAGACACCAGATTTTTTTAAAAATCTAGGAGGATCTAAAACAATTGCAATAATTTTATAGCATAGTGCAGTATTGTATTATATTTGTTACCTTTGCATCCTGCTTTTTCCTCATAGGCATGGTTCTCTCCATTTAATCCCTACAACAAGCCTGTGAGCTATGTTGGGCTGAGAGTTCACAACTGGCCCCTAAGGTCGTCTAGTGAGCACGTGGTGCTACGGAACTTACCACCAACCTAAAGGGACCCCTGACCATTAGGTCCAGTCGTGACCGAATCTGGGGTTGCGGCACTCATCTCACTTTATTGGCTGAGGGAGCTGGCGTACAGCTTCTGGGTCATGTGGCCAGCACGACTAAGCCGCTTCTGGTGAACCAGAGCAGTGCATGGAAACGTCGTTTACCTTCCTGCCGGAGTGGTACCTATTTATCTACTTGCACTTTGACGTGCTTTCAAGCTGCTACGTTGGCAGGAGCTGGGACCAAGCAACGGGAGCTCACCCCGTCGAACCGCCGACCTTCTGATCGGCAAGTCCTAGGCTCTGTGGTTTAACCCACAGCACCACCTGCGTCCCACCACCAACCTAGATGGCTTTTAAAGTGGGTTAGACAAATTCATGGAGGAGAGGGCTATCCATGGGAACTAGCTATGATGGCTATCATCTGCCTCCGGCAGCAGCAGCAATGCTTCCAAATACCAGCTGCTGGAAATCGTAGGAGGGGAAAACGCTCTTGTACTGGGGTCCTGCTTTGTGGGATTCTCCATGGGGCATCTGGTTGGCCACTGTGAGAAAAGGATGCTGGACTAGATGGGCCATTGGGCCTGATCCAGTAAGCTCTTATTATCGGCATCCACAGCAGCTGAAACATCTGATTGTAGGCTTTGGAGATGTCCATATGTGGGATTTTGTTTTTAAGCTTCAATTTGGGTTTTTATTTAAATTTATTCTGTACTAAGAGATGAACAGTGGAGGCTGGTCCATTAGGGCAAATGGGGTACTGCCCCACCAACCATATTCCTCTCACAGCCAGCTCCCACCTGCCTGCCTTCTCTTTTGGAACTGGCTGTCAGTTTCCTCCTCCTCAGTTTCAGCATTGCTCTTGTTGAACTTAGCAGGAAAGAGGATTGGAAGAAACCTATAATTTGTTGGCCACAGCCATCAGTGAAGACCAGTGAACTGTGTTGTCCTTCCTCCCTACTTGTGCTTCCCGAATATTTTTCACATTTACTGGAAGCGCAGAACTACATACGAAGATGCTGCTGGCATACAAAGTGGACGAGCTGTTCCTTCAGCCTATGTATATTATACATAGGCCTTCTAGGTGTAGATTCAATGCAATGGTGTAGTTCAAATGATGGGAACATAGGAAGCTGCATTATACAGTGGGGAAGAGGATTTTGGAAATATGTAAACCTTTGGTCCTGATCCCCCTAAAGCTCTCTAGAGTCTGTGACAAGGACTCTCCAATTGAAGAAGAAGAAGAAGAAGAAGAATTTGGACTTGATATCCCGCCTTTCACTCCCCTTAAGGAGTCTCAAAGCACCTAACAATTTCCTTTCCCTTCCTCCCCCACAACAAACACTCTGGGAGGTGAGTGAGGCTGAGAGACTTCAGAGAAGTGTGACTAGCCCAATGTCACCCAGCAGCTGCAGGTGGAGGAGCAGGGAATCGAACCCAGTTCACCAGATTACGAGTCCACCGCTCTTAACCACTATACCACGCTGGCTCTCTTTTGGAAGACAAGAAGAGCCTGCTGGATCAGACCAATGGCCCGTGTAGTTCAGCATCCTGTTCTCACAGTGGCAAGCCAAATACATGTGGGAAACCTGCAAGCAGGACACAAGCACAAAGAGCACTCTCCCCTCCTAAGCTTTCTAGCAACTGGCATTCTGAAGCCTCCGACCATGGAAGAAGAGCATAGCCATTGTGACTAATAGCCATTGATAGCCTTATTGAATTTGTCCAGTCTTCCTTTAAAGCCATCCAAGTTGGTGGTCATCCCAGCCTCCTGTAGAAGCAAGTACCATAATGTGCTTTCATCTGTCCTAAATATTAACAACGTTCAGTTTCATTTGATGTCCATAAGTTCTAGTGTTATGTAAAAGGTAAAGGGACCCCTGACCATTAGGTCCAGTCGTGACCGAATCTGGGGTTGCGGCGCTCATCTCGCTTTATTGGCCGAGGGAGCCAGCATACAGCTTCCGGGTCATGTGGCTAGCATGACTAAGCCGCTTCTGGCAAACCAGAGCAGCGCACGGAAACGCCGTTTACCTTCCCGCCAGAGTGGTACCTATTTATCTACTTGCACTTTGACGTGCTTTCAAACTGCTAGGTTGGCAGGAGCAGGGACCGAGCAACGGGAGCTCACCCCGTTGCGGGGATTCAAACCGCCGACCTTCTGATCGGCAAGTCCTAGGCTCTGTGGTTTAACCCACAGCGCCACCCGTGTCCCTTTCTAGTGTTATGAGAGAGGGAGAAAAACCTTTCTCTATCCACTTTTCCCATCCCATGCATAATTTTATAAACTTCTATCATGTTCTAACCACTGATGTCTTTCCTGATAGGGGAGTTGCTCCATCCCTTTTATCATTTTGATTGCTCTTTTCTTAACCTTTTCCAATTCTGCAATAACCTTTTTCAGGTGAAGCGACCAGAAGTATACACAGCCTTGTTCTGGATCTCTGGACACCCACTTAGTTTAAGAGAAACAATTGCAATGACTGCTTAAAACATGATTATTTATTACTGCATTTATATTCTACCTTTCCTCCAAGGAGTTCAAGGTGGCACACATAGTTCTCCACCTCCTCATTTTTTCCTCACAACAACCCTGTGAAGTAGGTAAGGTTAAGAGGCAGTGGCTGGCCCAACGTCACCCTTTGTACTCTTATAATGGTGGGCATATTCTACATTGCCTTTAAAGTCAATCACCAAGTCTGTAGTCATATTCTGCCAATAAGCAGAAGTATCATCACTCTTAACCATTTTTACAGAGAAAGAAGTGTTTTCTTTAAACGATTGCACTGTTATTTGACAGGTGTCAGATGGTTTAAATTTCTAAGTGACGCATTTGATGGTACAAAAGATGCCAATGCAGATGACATACAGCCAAATACAATTGGAATTCAGGCTACACAAGGCAGCACCTGCAAGACACCAGAAGGATGATCAGTTTTGACAGCTGTTAAGACTTCCCCAAAAAGTTATATGGCTTTAGCCATGGGTTTAGTTTCAGGGATAGTGAATTCATTTGCAGTTTTGACTCAGGTTTTGTCTCTTTAATTTCAAAAGATGCCAACAGGTATCCCCTTTTGTTGAAGATTCTCTAAATTTCATTGGGGTGGGGCGTTGTTAGATACTCTTCTTTACAAGGGGCACTGATCTCCAAAAAGATGCTTTTCTTTTATGTACATGGTTTCCCCCACAATGATGTATCTACTGGTAAGATAAAAATAATATACTTAATATATCTAATTGAATTAATTTAATAGTTAATATAACTAATATTAATTATTGGTTATATTAATCGCTTGCATCCACCAAGATCTTGACAGCTGTTACAGCAGATGAATCTCATGGGGCGTCCAGAGCACAGTCTAATCCTGTTGTGTTGGATGAATTTCAGCTGGTAAGGCTCGAGAATGTGGACAAGGTGCTCAGATCAGTCAAGGCAAGCACTTGCACTCTAGACCCTTGCTCCTCTTGGTTGATAAAAACCAGCAGGGAAGGAACAGCTGGCTGGGCCAGGGAGGTGATCAATGCCTGTTTAAGAAAGGGGGTGGTCCCTGCCTGCTTGAAAGAGGCAGTGGTAAAACCACTCATTAAGAAACCTTCCCTGGATTCGGAAAACCTAAGTAACTACCAGCAAGTTGCTAATCTCCCTTTCCTGAACAAGAGGTCGCAGACCAGATCTAGGTGCTTTTGGTAGAAACTGATTTTCTGGATCCATTTCAATTCGGGTTTAGGCCCGGTTTTGGCACAGAAATTGCCTTGGTTGCCCTTTATGACCTCTGTTGAGAGAGAGACAAGGGAAACCTGTCCCTGTTAATTCTTCTCGACCTCTCAGCAGCTTTTGATACCATGGACCATGGTATCCTTCTGGAGTGACTGTCCAAACTAGGGTGGGTGGCACCGCTTTGCAGTGGTTCCAGTCCTACTTGGGTGCTCGTTCCCAGAGGGTGTTGCTTGGGGGATGCTTTT